CTGAAATCATGAGCGCGCGCGCGCGCGTGCGATGAATTTTAATGTCGAAATGATACGCAGCAGAGCCGCCACGAAATGTGACGAGAATGAAATAGAAGGCTGGAATAATGCGTTCTGCTCGCTCGTGTATTCCGTGGAGACCTGAATGATAGTCAGCGGCGTTAGAGCGATGTGCCGCTAGTCGTCCATCTTGTCCCAGCGTCGTAGTCACTTAGTCCTCGATCCTGTTGCTCTTCCCGTACGCGCGCTTACGTATTTAACGAAAAAGTTTCTTCGATCTCTCCGAAATTGATGAAACCTTTTTTTTTTCTTTTCTTACAATTCTGATCTGATGAGAATTGTCGTTGGTCGATCGATCGATCTATCGATTCCAACTTTTTTTTTTTTTCCTCCAGTTACGAAGTTTTATCCTGTCGATTTTCATATTCTTGTAATTTTCTCTGAAAACGTTCGAATATCAAAAATTCGACGATTTATTCCAATTTCAACTCTCGAGGCCAATCATTGTCATTGCGAACTCTCTCCGAAGAAAGAACTTCGTTAAAAAGTTGCACGGCTCGCAAGGAAAAAAGGAAAAAACGCGTTATTTCTCCTCGATCCGATAAATTTCTCCGATCGCGAATTCATCAAATCTGAAACAAAAGAAGAACGATCTGGTCCAAGTTGAACACCAGACTCCCCTTTAAAAAGCTAGTGTGCAATGTGAAAGCCTGGGGTGTGAATGAGAAATCGCCAAAAACCGCAAAGAATAGCAGTTCTGGTTACTCGGTTCTGCCAGTCAACAAGAAGGAACTCTATCCCAGGACGTCGTTCTCGTCGCCTCCTCCCCCCTCCCTCCCTTCCCTCCCCTCTAGAGAAGAAGGAGAGTGGAATAGAGGCTCGGCTGCAAGAAGCAGTGCTCACTGGCCCGTTTTAGCTTTCCTCTGTTGGCAAGAGCGACAGCACGGATCGGTAGAGACGCGAGCAGGCGAAAGGAGACGAGAGGGAAAGAGGAGGATCTGTGTGTTGGAGGAGCGGTGGGGGGGAAGGGAGGGAGCCAGTTGCGCGACGGAGAGATAGAGAGAGAGAGAGAGAGGCGAAGACTCGCTGTCTGTTAGGCGGGCCAGCAGGATCGAGAAGGACGCGTGCTAAGGAACGTGCACGCGTGTAGAAGAGGTACCTGCGCGGCTACACAGTCACAGGCATCCAGCCAGAGTCAAGGCCGCTCACTGCTCCGCCGTGAGAGAGCTACTAACCAGCACGGAAACTTTGCTGCGTATAGAGTATAGAAGGCGAGCGGCCACGTTGAGTCGTATATAGCGGTTGTACAGAGGCTTCTACACTTGTTAGATTGTCCTCTAGATTCTGGAGAAACCGACACTATGCGATCGAGTTTCCTACGTGTCGTTCGTTACTTTTGCTTCTGAGAAGAAATTTTTTTCCCTCTTTTAATAATAAAAATTATTATCGCAATTGAATTTTGTAATTTTTGAGGATTATTATTCGTTCTTCTTTTCTTTAAATATTTTCATGTATATTTTTTTTTTTTTTTTTCAATCGGTTTTATCATCGATATTATATAGTTTTAGCTATATAGGTATTGATCTTCGAGTCGAGTTGTTTTTGCAAGTGCGAAAAGACGATGATTTAGAGTTTTGTTGAAATTTCGTACACTTGTCGGTTTGAACGTTCGTTATAAGTTTTAGAGAAGCGAGAACAGTGAAATTTTCGTGTTACGGGTTTAAAATAAACTTCCAGATGAGTTCACTGCGCCATTGCATGTATGATCGAACTCGTGTGGTATGCTAGTGCCTCAGAGTGCCTCGAAATTCTGTTTAGGAATTCGAGGAAGGAATCTAGAACGTTTGGCATTGTTGAATAAGTAAAGATAGAATTCGATCAAATTTTGCTTGCCATTCAAATTCTAAGCAAGATTTAACCACATTACGAATGGAAATCTTATTTGTCCAAGTTCCAACACGAATTTTAAGAGACGGAAAAGGAACTTTAAATAGAGATCGAAGTGTTTTGTACATTTATGGAAACGGATAAAAAGTCATTGCCACATCGTGCATGAATTCAAATTGTTTAGTTACACTGAGAGATTCCAGACTCTTTCTTCGAGCCCCTCAGACTATGATTCTCCATCTTGCACTCTATAAATACACAGGCTTGGTGAAAAGAAGTCAGTGTCAAGGTCAGCAGCAAGATAGCTGTAAAGATTCTTGCAGATTATTCATACGGAATGAATCTTTTAAATTTCGATTCCTGATTATACATTTAAATTAGAATTTCTTTTTTTTTTAATTACGATAATTTAAAAAAATGAATCAAAATTATATTAAATTTTTATCAAATAATTCGAATATAAATTACACAATGATTATAAATAAAATTCAAAGACACGAAAAAAAACTTACAATTCGTTAATCGATAAATCGATTGTTTAATTTCTCAAAAAAAATACATCGAAGAGGAAAGAAAATTTCATTAAATTTTCAGTAATGATAAATCACGATATTAACTCTAACTTTCGTTAATCATTGCAACAAACGTTGAATTATATTTTGATAATATTATTCCGCGTCAGAAACTAGCATGAATACCAACAGCGAGCCAATGTTAAGTAGCAAGGAAACCTGTTTGGGGCATTTGAAATGATGGCCTGCTCGCTCTATATAGAATCGTTATGTACTACTTGCTAATATGTACACAAACCGGCGTAGGTATCAATTTTGTGCCAGTGTCAGGTCGGTACCAATAATTTATTGGCCTTTGGTTTCTCCGATGCAACAGAATCTCTGTCGTCAGAGATTCCAAGAATCTCGAAGTTTCGTTACCAATTTGTTACCAGAAAAATATTTTGTTCTTAACACGGATCTTAAGACGTAGGAAACGTTAATAACAAATTGGAATTTCTTAGATGATCGATGTTTGTTTGATCAACGTTAACTTAATTTTTATCGAGTCATGCTTACTAAAATGTTGTTTTCGAATTTTTTTTTCAATCGATAATACGAATATTTATTTTTAAATCGTTCTGAAAACTAAAAATTCGAAAGATAAAAATCTCAATGTAATGCTTAAAAAAGAATTAATTTATAATTATTACGATCTTACTTTTTTTTTCGAAGATACGAATCTTCAAAAGATCCCGGTTATCGTATCGTAAGAAAGTTAAGTAACAGGAAAAAATTTAACAAGAATAAACGAAAGTCTCGAAGAGAGCAGAGAAATGGAAAAAGAGAAACGATTGCAAAATTAAAGTCTGCAGAACGATGAAGAAGGGGTAATAACCGAGTGACCATCTAGCCTGGTCACTGTCTCAGTATTCCAGGCGGATATTTTCACGGTGATCAGTACTTCCGGATGATCCGAGGAACCCGTCTTCGGATTCTTCTTCGCGGAATTGCCGAGAAAGATATATATACGACACACGTTTGCTTTTCTCGAGAGAAATTCAAATCATCATCTTTGCTGAAGCGTCAAGTGATGAGAAATTTAATGACTTCAAAAAGTGATCGTATTTAAACGAAATTTACAATTACAACTTGTGAGTAGCAAGTTTATAATCATTAATCGAATAACTTATATTTCTTTGAATGTGTTATTTTAATTTAATAAACTACGATCAGAAATCCGTTTCAAATCTTGGAACAGTTATATACTTAGTGACCAATATTGATAAAATTTGAATTAAAAATTTCTTTAATGAGATTTTCTTTTTTTTTTTTAATACTCAGAAGTACAGGAAGTATTCTTATTCCTGCAAATTATCGTTGTTTTTTTTTTCCTAATCCAATCTAATCAAAATTAAATATTCCATCTTAATTTCCACCTCCCTATACATATATTTAGAATCGTAGATTTTCTCTAGATTTTTGATCAGTCAAGCGATCAACGGTATCAGATCTTGGAACCGTTATATTTAGCAACCGACATATATATTTCTAACTTGAATTTAAAATATCTCTCACAATGACTGATTTTGAATTAAGAAAGAGTATAAAACGCCGGGCTTAATCCAAACTATTCTCGTTCAAAATTAAATGTTCCAATTTTAATTCTATCTCCCAAACATATGTATATATATATATATATATATTTAAAATCTAGTAGATTTTCTAGAAAATAGAATCTAAATTTTTTTTCGATCAGAGAGGCCACGAACGGTATCCCACAGAGTTACGTTCTTTTCAAGAATCTCGGACACCCGCCGAGATTGCTCGCGGCGCAGTACAATTCCCTCCGTACAGGCCACGAAACCACGCGGCCGAACTCGCCTCGTCGATTCCTCGCCTCGTTGGTGGAGGGCGACGCGCGAGCAGAGCGCGCAGCACCGTACTTTCACCGACCGTGACTTCCACCGCGCGGCGTTCCATTCGACGAGTTTCACAGATAAACGGGGTAATAGAGACGGTGTCGCCACGTAGGTTACTAGAACCCGCTTGCCCGTGGTCGAACCAAAGTCACACACACACACACACACTCGGCGTTACACTCGTTCGCCAACGTCCGAGGCGCAATAACGCGCCTCGTAATCGTTGGAGAAGAGGAAAAAAAGTTCGCGCGCTCACGAACGAAATTTCGGGAACGAAATAATAACAAATCGTAAAAATTTATTATCTCGGTTTCTCGATGGGCCATAAATTGAATATCCTCAAAATTCGAGGAAAAATGTACATGTGTATATATATATATAAAGTTTACTGGAACGTTTAAAAGATGTCACCTATTTATGGAACGCAAGGGAGATCGGGTTACTGATGGAATTTAGGACAACGGGGGAATCGTATTACCCTTTAGATATTCAATATTTTTAGGTATCTCTACCGAGAACAAATGCGTAACACGTGCGAACGTGTTAGAGAAATCGCCCTTGCCATACGTAACGAAACCAGAATTTTCGTAACAACAACAACAACAACAATAATAATAGATCGACACAACATCGATACAATAATAACACCTCGAATCGAAATTTCGTGTTCTGACGGGAATTTTGAACGTCTTGTCGGCAGGTAGGGACGAGTTGTCGCAGCCTGGCTCTTTGAACGGGTATGGGAGCAGCGGAGGCGGAGGTGGAGGAGGCGGAGGAGGAGGAGGAGGAGGAGGAGGAGGCGGCGGAGGCGGCGGCGGCGGGGGTGGAGGCGGAGGCAGCGACGGCTGCGACGCAAGGAAGAAGAAGGGACCGACCCCGAGGCAGCAGGAGGAGTTGTGCCTCGTGTGCGGCGATCGTGCCTCCGGCTACCACTACAACGCGCTCACCTGCGAGGGGTGCAAGGGCTTCTTCAGGCGAAGCATCACCAAGAACGCGGTCTATCAGTGTAAATACGGGAACAATTGCGAGATCGACATGTACATGAGGCGCAAGTGTCAAGAGTGCAGGCTGAAGAAGTGTTTGACCGTCGGGATGAGGCCTGAATGCGTGGTCCCTGAATACCAGTGCGCCGTGAAGCGCAAAGAGAAGAAGGCGCAAAAGGTATATCCTCGGGTGGAGCGGGGAATTATTATACACTTTTTCCCTCCCCCTCCCCTCCCTTTTCCCCTATCGAGTCGAGGATTGCAGATGGTTTATAGATGGAGAGGGGACGTTTTTTGTGTTCCAGGAGAAGGACAAGCCGAACAGTACAACGATGAACGGCTCCCCGGGTAGTGGGATACGGAGCGATCAGATGGGGGTGAAGATCGAACCGGCCGAGGCAGAGTCGTTGTCCACGTCCGGGAGCAGTGGAATTTTGACGCCGGTCAGCCCTTACGGCTACGTGAAACCGATCAGCCCCGAGCAGGAAGAGTTGATACACAGGCTCGTCTACTTCCAGAACGAGTACGAGCAACCCAGTGAGGAAGATCTCAAGAGGATCACGGTAAGCGGATAGTTTGTTTTTATTATTATTATCATTATTGTTGTTTCGATCACGCGCGTGCGTGATCTGTGCGCGTTTCATCGATCGATAAATTGATTTATAAATTGATTTAGAATCAGCCCTCGGAAGGAGAGGATATCAGTGATTACAAGTTCAGGCACATCACCGAGATCACGATCCTTACGGTTCAATTGATCGTCGAGTTCTCGAAGAGATTACCAGGCTTCGACGAGCTGATGCGAGAGGATCAGATCGCTCTGCTCAAGGCCTGCTCCAGCGAGGTGATGATGCTTCGAATGGCGAGGAAGTACGACGTGCAGACGGACAGCATAATATTCGCCAATAATCAGCCTTACACAAAGGACAGCTATACCGTGGCAGGTATGGGCGAGACGATCGAGGATTTGCTACATTTCTGCCGGCAGATGTACGCCATGAAAGTGAACAACGCCGAGTACGCGTTGTTGACGGCCATTGTCATATTCTCAGGTACGTAAATAAACCTCTATGACCACTATTCTCGAAAGACAGGCACCGTTTTCGTCACCGTAATCTCGATCGAAGGCGTCGTCCCAATCTCAAAAATTCTCATTCAACGACTCATCCTCGAGTCCAATAATAATAATAATAATAATAATCATCCGACTAACCAACCGATTGTCGACCTATTATCAATTTTGGATTATCGTGGATACGTATTTTGGATACGTGGAACTGTCTGTACTTCAGTTCCTTGCACCCCTCCCCCAGCCTGCAAAGAAAAGATTCCCCTGTTTTCTTGCAGAGAGGCCGAACCTGCTCGAAGGCTGGAAGGTGGAGAAGATTCAGGAGATCTATCTGGAGGCGTTGAGGGCATACGTGGACAACAGGCGCAGACCGAATCCCGGCACGGTGTTCGCGAGGTTGCTGTCCGTGTTGACCGAGCTGCGGACCCTCGGCAACCAGAACAGCGAGATGTGCTTCAGTCTCAAGTTCAAGAATAAAAAGCTGCCAGTTTTCCTCGCCGAGATCTGGGACGTAACACCCTAGTTCCCCCGTGGCCGATCCCCGTCGGCTAATAGTGTTGTTTCATCGCGAGTCCGCGTGGCGTCCAGAAGAACGTTGAGGCTGACCGAAGGGAGCAGCGTAATCATCGGCAGGCGCGATACGCGGACGTGGAGAACCTCCTGTACTAGTGCACCACCATGCCACTGCCTACCGAGTAGTAGACCGGTGTCGTCTACTAGTAGCAGCATCGAATTCCCGTTCTATCAGAATTCGCTTCTTTCACCTTCCCTCGGCTCCTCCGCACCGGCTTCGTGAAGCTGTGCTAAAAACGGGGGCTGCGGCAGTGCTTTCGGCAGTGCTTTAGTCGGCAGTGGAGCTTAGACGCCGTGGAGGATGACGATGATATATATTTACATATGTAAACGACGAAGTCAGGAGGAACACCGAAGAAGAAGAAGAAGAAGAAGAAGAAGAAGGAGAAGAAGGCAGTGGCGAGGCACCCAGGCTGTGATACGTAGAGACAGTACAGAGACTGTAATAAGGAGCTACCTACCAGTTATGTTATTACTATATTCTCTACCTGGCTACCCCCCTCCCCCGGAATCGATAAATGTAAATGTATAATGTGTAATGTATAAGGTAGCGGCTACTACAAGGCGGGGCGCGTTGTATAAGGGGCGACAAGCGTTGTTAGTATGAATGGAAAACCGAGAGGAGTTGATGCGGGACGGAATGCGAGAGAGGGAGTGCGTGTTTAATTGTATGCGTGCGCAATTTTCGGCCGAGTTGTGACTGAAAAAGTTATTACGATATAATCATATTATGATTATAAATGATAACGATGATAGAACCGACAGGATCGATCGCACTCTTCTATAAATGTAAATTGTTGAAAAGCAAGGGTATACGGAGAAGGAAGGAAGGAAGGAAGGGAAGGGAGGTCGGTTGAGCTGTTGAGCAGCGATCTGGCCTGGCCGATATCGAGAGTGCGAAAGTATCGAGGAAACAAAAAAAAAACAAAAAAAAAAATGATGATGATAAATGATGATGATTAAAAAAAAAAAAATAACAAACGATACGATTATACATAATGATACCATAGAGTCTATATCACAACACATAGCATAATAATATATTGCTAGCATGTACATTGTTTATACGAGGAAAGATATAATTGAAGAGGTGGGTTTAAGAGATGCGCCGGTTGATCATGAAGATGAATGACAGGTGAATGATGGAAGGGAAAATACGTGGAACGGTTTTTCCGCGACGAATAAGATGTCGAAGACGAGGCTTGGCATTTGCGCGCGTCCGAGTTTTCTTTTTTCGCGAAAATGGCAATGAAAAGGGGTTGCGCGATGGGATGGAAAGAGAGAGAGAGAGAGAGGGAGAGAGAAAGAGAAAGAGAGAGAGAGAGAGAGAGAGAACAAAAGCGTGGTAGCAATTTAGGACAATGTTAAGTAAAGTAAAAGTAAGCGAGGCTAGTTGGTAGTAGGTCGTAGTAAGTCAGTGAAGCTAGGCTAGGTGACCGAGTTCAAGTGCAAAGCCTTGTGCCTTCAGCAGCGGACATCGGCTCACCGACAAACGAAACCATAAAATTTAACCGTCCGTTTTAATTTTTTAATAAAAAAAAAAAAGATGAAAAAATCAACAAAATCGAGCAAAATATTGTAAATCTATGTCAGAGTGAGAGAACGAGGGAGAGAGAGAGAGAGAGAGAGAGAGAGAGAGAGAGAGAGAGAGAGAGAGAGAGAGTGAAAGGAAGAGAGAAAGAGAGAGAGAGAGAGAAAATAGATCGAAAGAGAGGGAGTGAATGTACGAAAATATTAAATTTGCGTTTAGACGTTGAGAGAGCAAGAGAGAGAAGCAGATACATGGATGCATGAGAATACGGGAGTGAGTGAGAAAAAAAGTACCGAGCGAAGAGGAGAAAGAACGGGAATGAATTTCATGGGAAGTTGATAGAAATTGTTGAGGAAATTAAAAAAAAAAAAAAAAGAACGAGAAAGAAACAAGAACAGAGTCGCGCCAGATCTCAGCTGAAGATGAGAATTATAGAAGCGGGCTTCGAAAAGTTGAAGTTGATTTTCGACCGATATATTTGGACATGCAATGCTAGCATTAAAAAAAAAAAAAATAATAATAATAATATTAAAACAACACACTCAATTGTTGAGAAGAAGCGAAAGATGGAAAACTGGCGTTAAGAATATTCTGATCAGCAGACAGACGTGCAAAGTAATAATAATTCTGCGATCGACTTTCAGCTGACTCTCAAACACGAACCGAGAATGACAGACACACACGTATATACACACCACGTACACGCGCGCATGCACACCCAAAGACATAATAAAGAGAGAGAGAGAGACTATACTCGCAGGAGAATTGGAGAAAAATAAGAAGGAAAGATCGGAGATATACCTGTGCATACACATATACGTGAGCCACACTGTACACTAAGATTCTTAATGTTGTAACACTGTAACTCTATGCTATTAACTGATCATAATGCAGTTGTATTCCATAGTAAGTTAAACGAGCAAATTTTAAAAAAGGTAAAAAAAAAAAAAAAAGAAAAAAACGTAAATTCTTGTAACGTGCGATTAACACGAGGCGGAGTTTTTCTGGAAAAGGGGGGGGAAAAAAAAAAAAAAAAAAAAGAAAAAAAAAAGAAAATACAATGTGGTTGGAATTAATTAAGGCGATGTATTTATTTTAAACGTGATGTAAAAAACGTGAAAAATTGATCAATTTGAAATGAAATGGAACAAGAGAAGCAAGGGATATAACGTTGTAGTAATGAATGATGAATCAGAAAAATGGACAAAAGAACGAGTTACTAGTAATTTGCCTAGAACAAAATAGTAAGATCCTATAGACGTGCTGTGTTTTACTATTGTACAGTTATATACTTATCGTATATTCGAAGAAGGCGAAAAAAAATCCATGCAGTAAGTTGCTGTAATCTAAGTAACATTTCTTCTCCGATCGTGTCTATCTGGGGTGGTTTTGGGAAAAAACAATTCCAAACGTTTGATATTCGAAAATCGGCAACAATGCACGAGTCACGTGATCCAATAATCATTATATCCAATCGTTACGTCCACTATTTTACGACGCCTTCGATGCCTCAGATCGACACAGTTTTTCGGACAGGGACAGTCGATACGTCCCATAAATTCTACAAAGACAAAAGGGAAGATCTATAAATTATGCAAAATGCCGCAAGGCGGACACTGCCACACCGCAGAAGGAAGAGAGAAGTGCGTTGTGATGGCACGAGATTTCGGATGGACGAAGCTTCAGATAAATAGAAATCTTAAGTGTAATATCAGCCAGATCATCACCATCATCGCCACCAACGTGATTGTCGCTTGCATTTTGAATTAATCCACTCCAATATTAGTAATACGATAATAATAATACCTTCTAAGAACTCGAAAACCATTGTCTCAAGGCATTGCTGGAATCTTATTTATCTTGGAGGAGGAAATTGGAAATGGATCGATCGATACAGACGTATGAAAGTTCTGAATATCTCGGATATATCGTGGGAAAAAAATTAAGTGGAGGTGAAGAAAAGGATGATCGACAAAAAGAAAAAAAAGTAAGCGCGAATCAACGAATGGAGATGAAGAGGACCTGTACAAAGACACCAGCACGCCGACATACATTTGCACACACCTATATTTTGCAGACTACCTATACTTTGTTGTACTACAAAACACACTCATGCAGCTACTAACAACGAGTGCTTTCGGATATATCGTCGTTTTTTGCTACAGGAAAGGATGAGTAATGATAAGGATAGTTGGAAAATGGAAGGAAAATTTTTCTTAAGCGCAACACGCATCGCAACGACATTGCCTATTGCATATATCTGTAGTATTTTTGTCGTTTTGAAACGTCGTTTAATCGTAGACGGATCGACGATCATTAAAATATAAAAAAATATTCGTTTGGGCTCTAGCGTCCTTAAAATGTTAATGTTTAAGCGTACTGCACGCGAGGACAACACGTAAAATCGTCTACTTCCCTTTGATTCGCTATAAGTGGTTACCTTAAAAAGATATCCACGATTAAATTGTCGAAGGATATCGCTTTGTAAAGTTGTTCTCTCGTATATAGAGACTAAAGTTCAATCGAGTAAACAATCAAGCTTTTGTTTGGATGGTCAAGCTCTCGTACGTTTTATTGTTTCTTTCTGAGCTTTTCCAATTGTTAGAATTATATTATATTATATTACGTTGAATGAATCGTTGCCACTTTATCGAATAACTTTAACTTGTATAAACTGTTACTAACTCTATAATTTCTCTTCAGTAGATTAAACTTGACTGCATAGTTGACCTTATTTGACTGACTTCGAGACATTGACTCGTTTTGGGGAACTTGATCGCTTTCAACGAGGAAAGCGAACAAAGTACCCTGTAGATAGTTACACACAAGAGTGGACACAAGATTGGATCCAATTTTTAAATTTCAGAGCTTGAACGTTTCAAACGAATAGTAGAATAGTTTTCTTTCCTTTAGAAAATGTTTCTGGTTCGATATCAAAAGAGAAAAATCGTGCAATAAAAAAGGGGGAAAGATGGTCTGTGTATACGGGAGAACGACGTGGAGGAAAATTTTCAAAAGAATTTTCGTGATTGCCTCGTATATTGAAACGCAGAAAAAAGGAAAAAAATGTCACGGACCGTCGACGGCAGGTCGTCATCGACACTCTTTTGTTTCATAGCGTTTAGAACCGCCCTTGAATTTGAAGGAGGGACTTTCCCCATTATATACAAAGGACACGCGTGGACCCTCGCCATGATTTCCGATGCAACGTCTAACGCGTTTCGCGCAATTGGCGGCAGATGTCGTCGTGGAGATATGCAGAATTCTTGGCCCCTCGAGGCGATGTTTTCTCTCGAACAAGTTTGACGTTGAAAGATCCAGCGGGAATCAAGGTGAACCGCATCCTTCGACGAATCATAAACCGGTCACACGTTAACTCCGTGTGTAGTGTGAGCTGAGACATGAAAAGAAAGAGTGGAGAACGAAGAGGGAGATAGAGAGAGAAAGAGAGAGAGAGAGAGAGAGAAAGAAAGAAGGAATGCAAGAGAGTACGAGTGGAAGGGCGACGACGAATGCGCGAGGAAGAGAGGAATACACACGCACGCACACATACACGCGAGCATGCATACATCGCACACACGTACACACACACGTACACATACACGCTACATACAACACAGACATATAAATATATTCGAACGAAAGAAAAACTACATGCAATTCTACGATCACTGCCAAGGGCGTTAACCGTTGACGTCGATTTCTCATTGTTTAAATGTGTCGTAGTCGTCGTTTTTCTCGAATGCTGCTGCAAACAAGCGATTAAAATGTAATTATAAAACAATCGGAGAGGGGAAAAAAGAAGAGAAAAAGAAAAGAAGGAAGAGAGAAATATAAAGAGTAAGGGGAGATACACTACTACTACTACTACTACTACTACTACCACCACCACGCGCGTTATTTGGCGACATCTAGAGATATTATAAGCATTAACAAAAAATGAGATAAAGAAAAAAAAAATGCAAAAAAATATATATGTATATACGTATACATATATACATTACATACATTACATCTATATATATATAAAATACGTGCGTTCGCTCGAGTTCTCTGACGATGCTCGAGCGTGCGAATTGTTCATGATACTGCCAAGCGTAGACTCGAGTTTCTGTGTTTTTTAAGGGACAAACTATAATACTCCTTTTAAATGTAACGAACCACCATTTACACTCCATACGCAAGCATAAGCACGTATGCGCGCGCGCACACACACAATGTATATATATACATATATATATATATACGGAGATACACACATACACACACATATTACATGCCAACACAGATGATCATACATACACGCACGCTGATTACGTACCATATGTATGCGCATCGTGCCGCAATCTCTCTTGTCTGTTTGTCCGCCCGGGCATCCTGATCTGTCCCGTTTCTCCTAGATGTTTCTTTTCGCCTACACGTATACGCGCGTAGATTCATGTGTATGTGTAAAAATATTCCGGATTCTGGATCGTGAGCACGGTGACGACTGCTGCAAGAGGAACAAGTTGAAAATGATGATGCTAGAGTGAATTTGAATAACTATTTTTCTTATAAATAATATCTTCTTAAAAGTAAATTATCTTGTAAAGGTAATTAAAATATTTTAAATAACTTTAAAAACATTCGGTTTTTTAAAGTTTTGTTACTACGGCAATATTGTACAAAAGGTTTTTTGGTACATTGTCTTTTAATTTTCAATTGTGTATATTAAAAGATAAGATGAAGAGAATGTTAAGAAAATTCTATCTGAATCTGAGAAAACTTGTAATAAAAAAAATGTCTATAAAATTTATAAAATTTTAAAATTTATCCAAATTTATATCTATATATATATATATATATATATATATATATATATTAAATGTCAAAGTCCATGTGTTGTCAATACAGAAGAAAGAAAAATAATGATCGATGCTTAAAATTCCCTAGAAATTGATCTTGGCCCTACTGATTGTAAACTTTGGATTACGTAAGTTAGTACAAAATGAAGTCAAGTGTTGGCAGAGCCTTGTGTCTCCTTCCATCATAAATACCGCTAAATATCGGTATTTAGTCGAAGGTAGTCAGTCACCGTGAACGTAACTTGAATTTTGACACGTTGAAGCGAGATGGAAGATGATTCAATACGTTTCGCGTTCGTAATTAGCTGACAGACGGTTGAGATACGGTATTTTCTTATTGGAGGCAACGTTCAGCCCTGCGAGAGAGAGGGAGAGAAAGAGTGTGAATGAAAGAGAGAGAGAGAAAATGAAAGAACAAGAGTGAAAGAGTACTATAGTGAGGAAGGTTCTTGTTATTAATCGCGAGACAGAGCGAGCGAGCGAGAGAGACAGAGAGAAAGAGAGAGAGAGAAAGAGAGAAAGAAAGGAAATCATTTAATTTATTGGAAGCTGTAGAAAACGATGAAAAATGAAGAAACGGAGGAAGCTTATAAGCTGAAGATTATTATAAATAAAGTTAAATGATTATACTTTGTTATGGTAGTTTGATGCATTATTTTCTGAGTTTATAAATACATTGACGAATTTTCGTTCTTGCTTCTTTTTCTCGCCCGCGGAATATATACAATTTAATATTGTACATATTTGTTACTTGTAACGAAAGAGAGAGAGAGAGAGAGAGAGAGAGAGAGAGAGAGAGAGAGAGAGAGAGAGAATAAGGAGCCCTGAGAATTTTAATCTTTTAAATTCTTGCCTATATTTTTCATCCTTTCTGAATCTCTTCGTTGACTAACCCCTTTGAGACCAATATCATGAAAAAAGTAAAAAAAAAAAAAAAAAAAGAAATTTTGTTGAAAAATTATAGAATTGTTTCGAAATTTTTATCATCGAAGTAAATTTTTTTCGTGAAATTGGTCCTCTTCTTACTATCTTTACAATAATTCAAAATTTGGGATTTTAATGATGCGTGAGAATACTGCTCAATTTTTTAAAAATTAATTAATGAAAGTAGTATTTCTCTAGTCTCTAGGAAAATATTTATTTGATATTATTCGATATTTTTTTCACCATGTACATAAAATTCGTTTTCAAAATTTCGTCGATGATTTTCGAAATTCTAGAAATAAATAAAATTAACGTGGTGATAAAACTGCAATAAGTGAGTATATTGTACAGTAGCTACGAATGATAGTGGAAATTATTTTACAGTTGTTGCAAATAATTTGTAAATAACAAGAAATATATAAAAACGCATTGATTTTATTGTAAAACAATTTATGAAAATACTAGTGTCGTCTAAAAACGATCGACTAACAAAATTTTCGGGGCTGCCAATACTAACACCCAAACGTACAAAAATTTTTTGATCATACTTATCAACTGTCGGCAAAATAGTAACAGTTGATTTGCTATAATTTACTGTAAAAAAAGAAAGAAAAAAAAAAAACAACAAAAAAAAAATGAGAATAAGTAAATAGTGAGATATTAGAACTATCATCTGCTGCTAGGCATACGAATAAGTCTGAAGGATTATGTAACGAAGGTAAAAAAAAATAATGGACAAAAGAATCGCAGGAATGACACGATATAATGAAAGACAAATTGTACAAATTGTCCCAGAATTTTTAAAGAAAACAATACCGTCGTTATTTGTCACTGTAGGACCTGCCCTCGTCGGATGTGCACCCGGTCGACTTACTACTACTACTACTATTACTACTACTATTACTACTACTACTACTACTACTACTACTACTACTGCTACTACTACTACTACTATTACTATTACTACTATTACACTACTACTACTACTACTATTACTACTGCTACTGCTACTACTACTACTACTACTACTATTACTACTATTTATTACTATTATTGCTCCTGTTACCGCTGTTATTATTATTACTAACACTTAACACTAACATTTATACTTGCATTAATGAAAATGCACGCGGGCATACATATACACATACACACACATACACACAACATATTCTCGCAGAAAGAACGCGTATACACAAACGACACAACGTGCGATCAATCGAGAAAGGGTATAGTTGTTGTATCGTATATGGTTGTCTCGACTCATTATTTAGATTCGAGTGAAAACGTGTTTTGCGAAAAGAATATAAATGCTGTTCATAAACGAAAATTAAAACTTAAAATTAAGTATGGTCGATCTAATTTATAGTTGTTCCCTAATCGACAATAGTTAGGATTTGGAGTTGTTTAAAGTTTAATATTAGGCTGAAGCTAGCCATTTTTTGATTGAAGTAACGTTTATATGATGATACCATTGAGAGAAATGTAACTATGGTTGATCATTACACTATAGTTACCTAGTAAATTGAAAATGTAGCATAGTTGCGCGCATATAATTCGATTCGACAAGAAATTTTTTGCATGGTCGACTATTAATCGCGTTATATAGATTCAACTATAGTCGTCTCCTCGTAGTTCGGGCATTTCCATCAACTATACTCAATAATGTTATTGCTGGTGCATTAATGTGATATTTTTATCGTCGAAGGATGTGTTGTCCATCGGTTGAATCTTGATTTCGAACTGCGTAATCGATATCGACGGCGATTAACTATAGTTAAGAACTATACTAACGACAGGCGATTATTATCAGCCTTTACCAAATATAAAATATTTCATTGTCGACACGATATGGATGTGACGACGTCGAAGCAAGTGTATGCTGCCACTATCAACTATATTAAATTTTACTGACAACTATACTAGCTTTAACGAGAAACTACGAGCACGTGTGTTTCTTAATTCGTAAATTCGTCTCTTGACTCGAAAGTACGTCAACGTTTTACTAGTTGTAAGAGAGAGAGAGAGAGAGAGAGAGAGAGAGAAAGGGAGAGAGAGAATGTTAATCCTAAACGAAGCACAACTATACAACTATACTGCTTGAAACTCGATCGATCGTGCATCAATCATAATGTTCAAAAGCGTGCGCTTGTTCAATGAAAAAAAAAAATACGAAAAAAATTTCAAGCGTGTCTCGTATCTTCTACTAGCAATTATGTAATTACGATAATTACTATATACATTAATCGTAACGAAATTATTGTTAAACCAAGGATTCGATGCGAGTTGGGAAAAATTAAGTCGGAGGAAAAAGTACGACACGTAGGATTTTGACCATTCCTTTTTTCTTTTTTTTCTTTTTTCTTTTTTTTTTTTTTTTTTT